ATCCAGAATTAGTCTTGTCGTCACCATAACAAAAATCTCCCCAACACACACATGCTTTGCACATACTGTTTTCCACGAACACAGATGCCACAATAAATATTATTTTCTACATTTAAAAAAACTGAACCACAAATCAAACATTCTGACCTGCAAACAGTTTTTTCTCTTTGCAGAACTTTGCAAAAATCAAAACAGAAACCTAGAAAACCCACAAGACATTTTTTTTATTTTTGTGTTCTCAACATTTAAAACTCTTGAACTAGCCATTATTTTATGTGCAAAGTGCATTCTGGGTAGACGATGACATCAGCAGTTTCATGTTTAATGAAGAGCAGAAACCATATTCATGAAGTGCCACATGATGCTGCTTTAATACATTTCCAGTTGAAAGGCAACATGGGAAATAAAGCAGGCTTTTAAAGCTTTTCTTCAAACTACAAAAAAGGAAAATACACAAAGTTGCAAAGTTGTCACCTCGTCTTACCTAGAGCTGCAGAATGTGTGATAACAGTACTTTTTATTGCGATTACGACACGTCTTGCAATAAATGAACAAATACTAAATACTGACTCACATTAATACAAACATCTGAGCCGACCGTGTTTGTTGCAGTTCACCAGTTCTTGGCGATATGCCCGTTGCACAGACTGTTATCACGATGAYGATACATTTGAGATAGATTGTGCAGCACTACACTTATCTGATCTGTTTGAAACTTTTAAAATGAACTTTTCTTGAAGAAATACAAGCGTCTGCTGCTTTACATGCTAACATTTTAAACAAAGATTCTGCACAATCTGTTAGCAATCTAGGAGTGTGTTGTGGATGATTCTCAACTACTGACACACCGAATTTTTGTCCAATGTCTAAACAAACAAAAAGAATATCCATTTTTTGTGTTTGCTAAAGCTATTTAGCTGTGACGGCCATCATGAATCTGGTTGACTCCAAAGGTTAATAAGTTATGGTTATATATCCTATGGTTACTGTCTGAGTTTCATTAAAATGTGTACACTAGGCACTGGTTCAAGAGATGTTTAGCTAACCACACCCTTCAGCTCATTCCCAGTAGTCCGTACAGAGACCTTGACCCAGTGTTGACAAAAGGTGGAGCATCTAAAAGCAGCTGAAACACAAACTCCAAACACCTTCGCTCCACTYTCACCTTTCAGCCCCTGGTCTTCTTCATGTTAGGAAACACTTGCTGTGATGAGCTCAGTAATGTTTTCATCACTTGATCAGAGCTCAGACCCTAACTGAAGGTGATCAGAAGTCAAAATTATTATCGGTTACGAAATGTGGCTGATAATGTTTATGCCAGTATTAATAAAAACACATATACATATACATTTACACAATAAATAGTAATGAAACTTGCTGAATTTAGTCTATGGGTGTCTATGGGGACCAAATCCAAGATGGCTCCTCACAAAATCTGATTTTAGAAAACAGAAACAGCTACATCTCAGTCAATTTAACAAACTTTAACTTAAACGTTAAAAGCCTGCTAGTAGCTGAAGCTGAGACTGATCCACAGATTCAGAGCACTAACAGGTTGCACAATATCTGAAATTTTTGCCATTTACTATTTGCAGTCAGTTATGTCTGTGTTTTAGCAAGTTTAGCAAGTTTTAGCAAAACATTCCTTTAGTTTTTTGACATGTTATGATAAAACAAGCAGCAAATATGCAAAGCAGCATTACTTTTAAAGCAACTCCAAATGAGTGCAACAGCCAACACATTGAAAACAAGTCCATTTTACAGACTGTCCTCAAATTTAGTGCAGCTGAGACTCATTCTTAACACATTATACCCATTATAGTTTATGCTTATAATAGCAGCAACTGTTGATGTCAAACTGTCTGTTAGCAAAATATTGCAAGAACCAGAGATATTTTATTGAATCTTGGGGACAGTAATCACGTGTTTACCACTGATTAACTTCAGAAATCATTCCTTATCAAGAAGGCCGCCACAGATAAGTAACATCATCAAACACAACAATGTGTGTAACTGTTTGACAATTATTCAGCTAAAATGTGATGTGCATCTAAAATTCATTCATAACACACAAAATGAGTTTAAGATTACTACATATAATGCTGTTTTCAATACTTGCTATGTTATAAGGCTTAGAAAGCTCAGTTGTTCTGGCTTTATGACGTTTTAAATCAGTAATGCAATGCAAGGTTCACAACAATGGGAGACTAAATAGAAGGATTTGCATTAATAATACAAAACTAAAAACATCKTGTCTTGTAAATTYTATATCTGTAAAGCTAAACTCAGTGTTAATCTATAAGACCACTAAATGCATTCATACAACAGTCTGAGAGACTGACAATACATTAAACTCACACTGTCTGTTTCTGAGCCTCTATCTGTGGGTTAACAGTCATGTTGACCTAACAGACTGACTTTTAATGTTTATTTACCTCCACGTTGCACTGGGTTTCGTTTAAACTGGAGTAATATGTTGAAACTCTTCATGTTTCTACTCTTGGTGTGTTTTTCTGTAGCAGTCAGACCAGTCAAACTAAAACTGCTTCACGGGAATAATGTGCACAGGCCAAGACACGTTAGTGTTAACAGGGAATGAGCTAAAAGTGCACGTTTGACTTTAAACACAAAAACACCAACAAGAAGAATAAGCATGAACTGAGCCCTTTGCTGACTTTATGACAAAGGTCAGGCGCTAACACGCCCACAGAGCATCTGCTAACATGCTGCTGAGTTAAAAAAAAAAAAAAAAAAAACACTGATTATATTCAAAACAAGGGCTCCTGAGGCATGAGACGGAGTACATACAATGTAAAAACCTGACATAATATTACGGGTTTGTATGTTTTGTTTTTTGTCATCGTATTGCATCAAACACATCATCTATCTGAAGTGTAAAATTTAAAGTTTGGCGGATGATTTGCATGCCATGATTTGTTGACTTGTAAGATTAAAAAGCTGTTGTTTCAACTTTAAATTAATGGACGTACTCTTTAAAATGCATGCCACAGGATTATTATAGCGGCCGCTTGTTTCCAGACACGGTGACATCACAGTGTAGCTAGCTAACTGTTAGCATCTTCGTCCTGTCTGTTAAATGTCTACCTTGTCCTCGGACGGCTGCTGCTGTAACGGCGGCTCGGTGTCTTTGGCTCCACGGTGCCGTAACTCCGTCATCTTCCAGGCAGGAGGCCGAACGTCAACAGCCGAGGTCCGGGGGAAGCAACAAGAGGTCGTTTGCTGGATATTTTTCTGCTCAGCTTCGAGCTAGATGCTGCTGCTGCTGCACAGCAACGCTTGAAGAACCCACTTGATGTCAAAGAGATGTTCCGGTTTTCAAAATAAAATCCTCATTCTTTGAAGACCCCGAGGTGAAATGATTACTACTTCTGATACAAATACACACTACAGTAAACAATACTGGTGCACATTTTAATCAGAATCAATATTACACAAGACGATCCAGACATTAGATTTGAATTGAATTTGAAAGTGACTTTTTTTAACCAGCATAATCTCCATCCTTTCCATACTTTTTATTTCTAACCTGATAATTGGATTTACTTCTTGCTTGTTGTTTCTTCACATTTAAATCATGTTCTGTAGTTGTATAAAGTACCTCAAAGTGATACTTGAGTAAAAGTACAAGTATCTTACCATAATTACTTGGTGAAAGTTCAAATCTCCTCTAAGAATATTACTTTAGTAAAGGTCTTACAGTATCTAATATATTTTACACTTAAATATCAAAAGTAAATTTCTGACATAAAATGTACTTAAGTATAGTATNGAGCTGATTTATCCAGATGCTTTCCTCATTAATTTCCACTGCTTCTGTTGAAAGACCCTTAAAACTTCCTATAGGAATTATTGAATCAGGTCATCATGTGAGACATTTGACAGAAAGTGGTAAGCTACAATACATTGTTGTTTTAAATAAAAATAAAACTGTACTCTATTCTTCTGCTCAGAGTATATAGGATCACTCAGTACTGTGTGCTGCTATAGTCAAACATTTAATAAAGCATTTACTCTCATTATAAATCATTTCCTCTGTGCTTAACAAACTGACAATTAAATAAGTCCATTGCAGATGGAGGTTTTCTGAAAAATATTTATGTATGAAACAGTATTATGAAAGAGTCTCCACACAGAAGCAGCTGCTAGAACGCCTGCATGCAGAGACATGCAGGGAACACAGCTATTTTCTGTCTGCTGGTTCCTATGGAAACAATATCTGCTATTCAGGATACTTTAGTTAAAAATAGGAGCCCTTTTCACACACACACACACACACACACACACACACACACACACACACACACA